CGTACATATAGTTATATCCTTATTTTAAATTGAATTGAATTGATTAACTGGCTTCGACACCGCCTGAGGCTGAAGGATGCTTGACAACCAACGTGGTTTAATAAGGGGCATAGTGTATTATTTTGCACCAATTCTTGTTTATTACTTGATTCGAATTGCACAGCCAATCTGCAGTTTAACATGCGTGGATAAGGAATGACCTGACAACGGTGTCAGCACTTCTTCATTAGGCACTGTCCAGGTGAGAAGTGAGGAGCTTTGTGATTAACTTGCATTTGAAGCATTGTCTCACTGTGTTCTGGGATACCGGAAAGATATCTGTCCGTCTGCAGGTGAGCAAGCTACCATGCCGGTTAGTTTTGGACTAGAATATGGGCCACTATATCGGTGCAAGTGCGGAAGCATAATGCGGCAGCATTGCCTGCCAGAAAATGTTGTGCTCTTGCATGCAAAACAAAATCAAAACAAAAGGGGAATAGCATTTTCATTTCCACTTACATAGACTTGAGTAACTTAAAAGTTTTCAGTGTTTCAATAAAAAAGCAATTTTTGACCAATTGTAAGGTAGTAAATTGAGAAAATTGCATTTAAATGACACAGTAGATTTTGCCCGACTCAATAGTTAGAAGCAAAGCAGATGCATTTAAAGCCTTAGGTTTGGGTTGACCGATTTCTGTATAAAGCGACTCCCTTTTGATGGATTATGTGGTCAAAGATGTTTAGAGGCTGGCCACACTGAACAGCACAGCGAATTCATGTCCCCCAACTAGGTACTCAAGTATCTTCTAAGCATGGGTTATAATGGCTTCCGATTCTCGTCTGTTGTGTCTTTTCGCCTAGTGCAAGAATTTAGTGCCATAATACAAGTATAGATTATGCATAACGGCCATCAAAATGCAACAAATTATGCATCGACATTGTCAGGTAGCAGTGTATATTGTAGTAGCATTTTTCACCATATGGACAAATTTTTACGACTCTACATTGAATGAGACCGCTAAACTACTGTAGGTAGCCACTGACCTCGCAAACAGGAACGGTAAGA